CCCCGGCAGCCCGCCCCGTAGGCTCCCGGCCCCCCGTGCCACCCCCAAGTACTCCACATACCCCGATGGGGTAACGTGACGGGGGTCACCCTCCCGCCACCACCACCCCCCATATGCAGAGGCCTTTCTAGAGAGCCAGGGAGCGTGCGGCACCGGAGGCGGCAGCCGCTCGCCGTCACACACACGCCGAGGACGCCGACACTACAGCAAAGGGATTTTTTTTTTAATTATTATTATTATTAATATTATTATTATTATTATCATTAATATTATTTTTTCCCATCTGGCTTTTTCCCCCGGGGGGGCTTGCGGTGTGTCGAGGAAGCCGGCGCACTCCCAGGAGCTGGGATTATTTGCACAAGTCTGTATATTGAGTTCTCGATCCCGTTTTATTTTTATTTTTTAAGCGCAGAGGGGCTGTTGTTTTTTTTTCCCCCTCCACACCACACTTTCCTTGGCTTTTTTTTCCCCCACCACTGTCAACACCACCTCACCCTCCTCCCAGCCCACCATGGCCCGGATGAACCGCCCTGCGCCGGTGGAGGTCTGCTACAAAAACATGAGGTTCCTGATCACCCACAACCCCACCAATGCCACACTCAGTACTTTCCTGGAGGTAAGGAGGAGAGGCTGGAAGGGGGGGACTGGCACACAGATGTCTGTTCTGGGGCTAAAAGATGATGTTGAGATGCAACAGGAATCAGTCCTGTGTCGGTTGAGGCAGTGGCACATCCTCTTTGGTACCACAGCTCCCTGGGGCATCCCGGGGCAGTGGGTACAATCACCGACAATTTTTTTGGGACGGTTGTTTTGAAGGACCCCAAGTGTGGTGTTTGGGCACAGCAGAGATGGAAGTTTCCCCACTGCTGTTGCATCCCCTGCCAGCTCCACCAACACATCACATCGAGGGGCTTTACAGTGATACGCATGGATGCATGCATCTCCCTGCACCTCAATTAGGATTTTTTCCTCCCAAATATCCCAGCATCTTTCCAATGCCTGGATGTGTTAGGCAGTGCACAAGGAGTTGGAGGGCTCTGTGTTGCATGAGCCAGAGATGCTGCCCTGCCTGGGAGCGCTGCCTCAGCCTTGGCAGCAGCTGGGAGTTAGTGGGGGATTAATGGATGCGTGTCCATGGTCCGAGACGAAAGACTTGCTCTTTTTGTCAATGCCTGGGGGAAACACCACGTCCTGCGGGTTCAAGTCAAGCCAGCACAAGCAGCTTCTCTTTGCAGGGAGGTGGTTTGGGATGTCACTGCCTTCACGAGTGGACCTGGGGCTGCGCATCAGCCTGGCAAAGGGTTTTTGCCCTAGAATTAATCCACGTTGAGGTCCAATGTGCTGGCATCAGAGGCATCCTCCGAGCTCAAGGAAACACCCCCCAGCCCAGTCCACACCCAAAAAAACATGTGAGCACCACCAGCTCAGCTGCAGGAGAGTGGGGACAGCCACCCCATACCCTGCACGCTGTGTGCAAGGCACCGGTAGGAAGGGGGCGAAATTCCCTTTGCCTCCAGCCTTTGAAATTTTTGGACAAGCTGCCAAGTGTGTGGGGGTTTGCCACGGTCTGGCGGGGGCACACGGGGAACGAAGGAGATGGATCATTGAAGGGGATGATCTCACACAGTGCTCGACGGGGCCGGTACGCTGGCATGTAATCCGGGAGCAATCCTTGCGGCGAGCGATAAGCCATGCTGGAAGCAGACCAAGTCCCACACCCAAGCCTGCAGCACGTTGGAGTGATGACAGGATACAACAATGAGGTCAAGAAGGAGCCCCTGAGCCATCTGCAAGATGCTGAGCGCAGTCGGCAGGATGCGCTACGACACCCCCCGCCAGTGATCTCCGTGCATTTTTGCAGCAGGAGTTGCGACCTCACCGGGCACAAATAATTTCTCCTTTCGGGGGACTTGTGCCCATGTTGGGGATGTTTCTTTGCCTGGGGTGTAAAGTCCCTGCTGGTGTGGCTGTCAGGGCTTAAAAATAAATGGCCCTTTTAGCACTCGTGACTCCAAGGAGTGTAAATCCTATTGTATAAAAGAGTAAAAAAAAAAAGTTTAAAAGAGAGTAAAAATCCTCCTGTGGCCACGTGGCTTTGGTGCTCTGGGATCTCATGCTTCCCAGGCTGGATGGACCACAGGGGCTTCGCTTGAGGGTCCAGAGATGTGGGATGCTGCTGTTTTAGGGTCCTTAGTGGTCCGTGTGGTCATAGTAGGGCTCGGATGTGTTGGAGTTATCTGGGCTGCAGCTGGCAGGGTTTTTTCAAACCCTTCCTTCTCCTTCCCTCTGCAGGACCTGAAGAAATATGGTGCCACCACGGTCGTGCGAGTGTGCGAAGTGACATATGACAAGACCCCCCTGGAGAAGGACGGCATCACTGTCATGGTAGGTAGGCAGCAGGATGCGGCCCCCCCTCTGCTTAAATACCCCTGTCCCCAGGGTCTGCTACACACCGTGTGCGTCAGATGGACCGAAGCAGCATCACACTTGTCCAGGAGCAGGATTTAAACCCCAACATCCTCCTCGGGGTGAGGCAGGCAAGCTCCCCTCTCCCTGGGCTGAGATGGGGCTGGTGCTTTAAAAAAAGAAAGCGCTGCCCACGCACCCGAAACTGTGACTCATATGGTTGAGTCGGCAGCTGCCTTCCCTGCCTGTCGCTCAGGCTTTAAAGTATCCAGGGGATGAGAGCGCCTGATCCCACGTGGAAGATGCGCGTGGTTCCCATTACCCCCCAGCATTATCTTATCCGGGGCTGGAGCTGAGGGGGGGAGTTTGGGTTTTTTTACTCTTCCAGCAGCTGGCTGGTGCAGCTCTGGGGGATGAAAGGGAGGAGGCAGCAAGCAGGAAGAAGCAAGGAGGCCGAGCAGGCAGCTTCCTGGGCTGCATCTTGGCTGATAAGTAATTGGAGATGATGTCAGGCGTGATTGCCCTGCCAGGGAGTTCAGCTCCAGCTGGAAAGTGAGACTCGGCTCGTTATTTAGAAAAGGGTTTGGAAGTGCCTTGTGTCTCCTAGGGTGGTCCTCTCTGCTTAGGTCCTCTCGATGTAGCTCTCTCTGTATAATGTATATCCTTATATATGAGAGCTATATCCTAGATCCTCTGGGACATGGGTAGATAATAGATCCGCTGTCCCTCCAGATGCAGATCCCTCTCAGTGTAGATGCTGTGTCTCTGTAGGATGTATCTTACAGAGAAAGACAGCTGTATCCTACGTATAGAGTCTATGTAGGATAGCATATCTGCTTGCTTACACATCGAATTCTGCCTTCTACCCTGTTTCTGCCTGGAGTCCTCCCATCTGAGTTTCTATATCTAGGATATACATACCTCTCTACATACTTTATAAAGATATATATATATATATATCTCTAGGATTAGGGAGGTACCAATATCCTAGATACATAAACTATATAAGACACTACAGAAAATATATAGCTTCTATATTAAGTCTCTATTACTATATAGAAACTATATATAAGGTATATCATATAGATAGATATCTATATCCAGTGTATCTATGGATAGATCACAGAATCACAGAATTATTCAGGTTGGAAAAGCCCCCTGGGATCATTGAGCCCATCCCTCAGCCCGACTCCATGAAGTCCTCCCCTACCCCACATCCCCCAGCATCTCACTTTGGGGATGGGGACTCATTCCACTGTCTGACCACTCTTTCTGTGAAATATTTTTTCCTAATGTCCAGTCTGACCCTCCCCTGTTGCAGTTTAAAGCCGTTCCCTCTTGTTCTGTCCCTGATCCCCTGGGAGCAGAGCCCAGCCCCAGCCTCTCTACAGTGTCCTGTCAGGGAGCTGTAGAGTGATGAGGTCTCCCCTCGGCCTTCTCCTCCTCACACTGAACACTCCCAGCTCCTTCAATTGCTCCTCACAGGATTTGTCTCATCCTGGACACACTCCCTGGGTGGTTTGGGTGCCTCCTCTGCTTTTGTCTCCTCTGTGTTCCACGGGGGATGCCAAGCAATCTCTAAAGCTGATGGCAGTTACCAAGTTGTGCCAGACATGAGTGTCCTGTGCCATGGACATCTGCATGTCAGCTCTTCCAGCAGGTCAGAGATGGGGCAGAAATCCTGCCAGAGAACCGACACTGTGTGGTTTTCACTGTAGGAAGGTGTATGTTGCAGGATGGATATACTTATTGGATATACCAGTAGTGTTTAATCTTCATCAGTCATGTAGACAGTGGGATCAGGTGTACCCTCGGCAAGTTGGCAGATGACACCAAGCTGAGTGGTGCAGTTGATACCCTAAAGGGACAGGATCTCATCCAGAGGGACCTGGACGGTCCTGAGGGCTGGGCCCATGCAAACCTCATGAAGTTCAACGAGGCCAAGTGCAAGGTCCTGCACATGGGTCAGGGTAATCCCCAGTATCAGTACAGGCTGAGTGATGAATAAATTGAGAGCAGCCCTGCGGAGAAGGACTTGGGAATACTGGTGGGTGAAAACTGGGACATAGGCTGGCAGTGTGTGCTTGCAGCCCATAAAGCCAACTACCCTGGGCTGCATCAAGAGCAGTGTGGCCAGCAGGTGAAGGGAGAAGATTCTCCCCCTCTGCTCTGCTCTCTTGAGACCCCACCTAGAGTGTTCAGCTCTGGGGTCCCAGTGTAAGAAGGACCCGACCCTGTCCAGGGGAGGCAGTGGAAATGGTCAGCGAGCTGGAACACCTCTGCTGTGGAGAAAGGCTGGGAGAGGAGAGGTGGTTTAGCTTGGAGATGAGAAGGTTCTGAGGAGACGTTATTGCAACCTTTCAATATGGAAAGGGGGCTTATAAGAAAGGGTGAAAGACTTTTTACCAAGGCCTGTAGTGACAAGACAGAGGGTAACAGTTATAAACTGAAAGAGGGTAGGTTTAGATCGGACCTAAGGAAGAAAATTTTTATGATGAGGGTGGTGAGAGTCTGGAACAGGTTGCCCAGAGAAGCTGTGGATGCCCCATCATTAGAAGTGTTCCAGGTCATGTTGGATGGGGCTCTGAGCAACCTGATCTAGTGAAAGTTGTCCCTGCCCATGGCAGGGGGGATGGACTGGATGATGTTTGAAGGTCCCTTCCACCTCAGACCATTCTATGCATTGATGATTTTGTGGTGTGGTGTGTGACCCCCAGTGCAGGCACAGTGCCCTGTGCTCATGGCTGAAGTGGTGCTTTCTGAGCACCGTGGGGAGGGGATGGGCTTGCAGGACACAACAGGCTGTGCAGGGTGGGCTGGCTCAAGCATTAGGACACCCTGAGGCCCAGCGTGCTCCTTTCCTAGCAAAACCCAACTGCAATCACATTACCTGTTCAAACCCCGAAGTGAAGCCGCTTCTTTTGCCATCTTACACCAAGGATGACTCCAGCACAGCAGCTTAGTGACTCACTCCTCAAGCACAGGGATTATGGCCCTGTGCTTCCCACCCACCGGGACTCACCACACCACATCCCCTCCAAGGGATGCTCCCCTGCCCGTCCCTCTCCCACTGCTGCAAAGCCAGTGGCCATGCTCCTGCCAAATCCATTTTGAGAGAGAAATCACCATTTTCAGAGAGACATGCAGCCTCAACTGGCTGCCAGTGCCCATGGGGAAGCGACCATCCTTTCCCCAAAAGGCTGCAGCAGTCACAGGCAAGGGGGGGACACACTTTTTGCCCATAGCAGAGTCCAGGGCGGGGGGGGGTGCTTAATGCAGCACCCATTTCACCCATTTCATCACTGAGCTCTGATGTTGAGACCTTTTTTTTTTTTTTTTTTTTTTTTTTTTTGGTCCCTTAAGAGCCTTTCCTGAAGTATTCTGCTTAAATGGCCCCGTTTGGAGGGTTCTGTCTCCCTCCCTCCCTTCAGGTCTCCCTAGGGCTGTGTTAGGGGGTTCCCAGAGCATTTTTTCAAACCTTGTGTGTTCACCTTCCCCTCCGTGTGTGGCACCAAGCTGAATTTCAGCACCACATTGGGCCCTGAGATTTCAGCCATTGCCAAGCCACCTTTGCTCAAACTTCCTGCAAAGTGTCTTTGTGCTGCCAAGCACTGGATTTAGAACGGGAGCTGGTGGGGAGGATGATGGGAATTGCATCTCCCTGAAGCTCAGTGTGGTCATCAGAATGGGACAGGCAATGGCCACCCTGGTCTGCAGAGACAGGAGGACATGGGGACCATGTTGCAGATCCTGTAGGTGCTCCTTGAAGGCTGAACCTGACCTTAGGAGACAGGAGGACCCCAGACCTAGATTTGTACAGCTGCAAACCCTGAGCCAAAGCAGCCAGAGGATTCCTGCATGCTGGATGGTGCCACAAAACTCCCTACATCCCCACAGAGCTGCTCTGTGAGCCCTGTTCCTGCACACGCATCCACCTCCCCGCTGCCAAGGTCCCAAACACCATTGCCCTGAGTAAAAAGCAATCCCCTGAGTTTTTCCCCAGTGTCTTGAGAGTGGTTTTTGCTTGCCCTGGGCCTTGCAGGATTGGCCGTTCGATGATGGAGCGCCTCCTCCCAGCAAGATAGTGGAAGATTGGCTCAACTTGTTGAAGACCAAGTTCTGCGAAGACCCCGGCTGCTGCGTGGCCGTGCACTGCGTGGCCGGCCTGGGCCGGTAAGTGGGAACCCAGCACCCCAGCTACCACCCCACCCATGAAGGGAGGAGAGAGAAAACCATGCCCGCTCTCCTCCCTCCCTTCCCCAGTCCCCCTTTGAGCAGGGTTTTTGCATGCAGTAAAACCTTAGTGGGAATAGGTGTTGATGGGGGGGGGGCTCTCTGCTGCCTGAGCTTCTCCTCACAGTTCTTACAGCCAAATCCTGGGCACCGGGGTGGGGGGGGACACACCCACCCTGCTCGGTGCTGTGCTGCCACTGCCCTGCGGCTGTTTTGCTAAGAGCTCATCTTAGTGAGAAATATTGCAAAATGCTTCCTGCTACAACCGGGAGCTGACACTTTCTGAGAGCTGCTGCATCTGCTGCTCCCCCTGCCACGGGTCAGGTTTTGCATGTGTATTTCCATCCACTTTTCCGATAGATTTGCCTCCAAATGCTCATTAGAAGAGCAACAAACAGCTGCCAGCCCTGCCCTAGGGGTTTTACCCCAAAATGCTCCTTGGGGCAGTGCTTGCAGCCAAATGGCAAGAAATTACAAGCTTAAAAGCCACGGCTGATAAGTGCCTGTGATGCCACCATCCTGTCCCCTGCCCCGGGACAGGATGTCAGCCTCTGGGCTTCATGGCCTGGGGAGTGACAGCCACTGCCATTGCCTTGCAGCGCTCCCGTCCTCGTCGCGCTGGCCTTGATTGAGAGCGGGATGAAGTATGAAGATGCCATCCAGTTCATACGACAGTAAGTTGAGCAGCGTTTCTGTGTTGGGGGAGAAAGCTGCCCCGCTCTGAGGGAATGAAGAGATCTGGCTTGTCACGGTTTTTGGGGGGGGCATTGGGGTTGCTTTTCTTTCCTTTGGCGGAGGAAAAGGGAGATCACAGAATCACAGAATCATTCAGGGTGGAAAAGACCCTTGGGATTATCAAGTCCAACCATCAGCCCAACTCTATAACATTCTCCCCTACACCACATCCCCCAGCATCTCATCTGAACGACCCTTAAACACACCCAGAGGTGGTGACTCCACCCCCGCCCTGGGCAGCCCATTCCACTCTGACCACTTTCTGTGAAACATTTTTTTTCCTAATGTCCAGTCTGAACCTCCCCTGTTGCAGGCGTGGCTGGCATCGAGCACCCTGTGCCTTTGTATCAGGGCTGCAGGAGGCTGGGCCAGCAGCTGGGAGCATCCCTGGGGGGCTTCTGGCAGGCACCCCACATGTTTTCTCCCCAGCTCCATGCCCTGAGACACGCAGGGCGGATGAGCAGGAAGAGCTGCTGGGGTCAGTGGAGGATGCACACAGCCACAGCCTCCAAAATCCCTTCCTGCTCCAGGCAGGGTGGGGTTCAGCACCTCAATGGGGTTGGGTTCAGGGTGGGGGGAGTCTTCGGCCACACTGCTGACTGCACCGGCCCTTCTCTGTCTCAACAGGAAACGCAGAGGAGCTATCAACAGCAAGCAGCTGACGTACTTGGAAAAATACCGACCAAAGCAGAGACTCCGTTTTAAGGACCCTCATAACCACAAGAACAAATGCTGCATCATGTAACCTCAACGACCTCTTGCCAAAATCCGTGCACACAGACACCCGGGCACTCGCACGCATCCCACCCCCTCACCTCCTTGCCCAGCCCCGTGCACCCCACATGCCGCCCCTCTGCCAGGGCTGGGGTGGGGGGACATGGAGCACCATCAACGTGTTCCAGCACCCACAGCACGGTCGTCTTGCCAGACCCCTGAAAAAGGCTGCTCTCTCCAGCCACAGCCCCGAAGAGAGAAGGCAGCACTGCCCTTTGACTCTTGGCATTAGCAGGCAATGAGTTCATGTGACGGTTCTTCATCACCTTCCTCGTCCTCCCTTTCCCCTCCCCTTGCACTGAGAGGGATGGGCAAAGGGTGCTTGGTTTGGGGTGATGCAGGCAGGGGTGTACCAGCTGAGAAGGGGTGGGGAGCAGGAGGGCTGGAGCACCCCCAGAAAAACCCTTTCCCACCTCTTCTCTATAAATAAGGGCTGCAGCAGCGGGGACGGAGGTGGGGATGGTGCAGTAGCCTTGGGGTGGAGATGGTGATAGCAGGAAGAGGTGAATGGGGCTCACAGCTTGGTGCTGGCCTTGTGGCCACAGGAAGGGCTGAGCTGAGTCCCCCTAACACCATTCCCTTTCTCCTGGCCCTTCTGCCACTTCACCATCTCCCCTTTGCCTCTGTGCCAGCCAGGATGCTGCAGATGCGGTGTGTTGGGGGCGTGCTATGAAACCTGGGGACCATGGCAGGGCTTTGAGGCACGCAGCTTTGCCAGGGTGCAGGGTCTGCACTGGGTCCCCCAAAGTGTGGGGTGCTCTTATTTATAGCTTCCAAATTCAATGCACAGGGTGGTGGGTTCTTTCCTGTCATGTCCCTGTCACTGAGCTCTGGTGCCCTGGGGACACAATGTGCATCTCAGGGCACATCTGTGTCCTCCACCACTGCGTTTGCTGGCTGAAGGGCTGGGCTGCAGCTTTCCTAGGGATTTTGGGTGCTCCTGGCAAGAGCACATCACCAAATTTTGCACCTGCCTTTCCCACACCTGTAATACGGCGCCTGGCACCCCGAAACCCCCCGGCGCGTGCCCTGGTGGGGTGGACTCAGAGCTACCCCTGAGCTGGGACATTAAACATCTCTCAACTTTCTGCCTTTGAATGCTTGCAGCAGCTGGAGGGGTGGGCACGTAGGGGGCATGGGGGTGTTTTTTTCTTTTGATGAGGATAAGAAGAAATTTGCTAATTAAAGGAAAAAAAAACTTAAAAAAAACCCTAAACTGTTTGTCTTCCGCATGTCCTCTGGCCTTTCTTTCTCCCATTGCTGCCCAGTGGAGCCCAGGAGGTGACCCGTGTCCCCCCAGACCAATCCCTGGCACTGGGTCACAGCTGACTGCCATCCACTGTCACCAGGGCCTACGTGTGTCCCAAGAGATGCTCCAGGGATCCTCTGGGCTCACTGCTGCTCGCTGCCTCAGATGGAGAGGATTGCAGTTGTTGGGGCAAGGAGGGCTAGTCATCCAGCATCTCGTGGTTTTAGGCTGCCCAACTTGAGATGCCTTCAGTGCCCTGTGTTGGGCATCTCCAAAGGTTTGTGTGCCTTCCAAAAGGTAGATTTTTCCAGCGATTTGCTTCAGAGGGTTCATCTCTTGGGATAAGCGGTGAGGATGGCTGGTTAGACACCTTTGGTACCTGCAGAAGGGTAGGGGACAGCTTCGTGTCACCATGTGTGGGCAGAGGAGGAGCTTGGAGCCGTTTCCAGCACTGCTCCTCTCCCCATGGGAGCCAGCCCCACTGCACGGCAGGGGTGGCCATCCCGTGGGATGGGCTGTGGGGCTGAGTGGGGTAGGGACCCTCCAGTTGTCATACTGCACGTCTCTGGCCTGTCCAAGCCTCCACACTGTGGGACAGCCCTCGGTCCCTTGAGTTTCTCTTGCCCCATGTCTCATGGAGAAGGCAGCAATGCTCAAGGGGTGTGCATTGGTTGGGAAGGGTGAGAAATTTGGCTCATAAAAAGGCCTGACCCTGTATTCACAGCAGTCCTGATGGGTGGATCATCACCCCCTTCCTGCTGGGTGCATCCTCCTGCTGCTAAAACAGGTGCTGCTTCGTTCCAGAGGGCAGTGGGTGGTGGCTTGGCATTGGGACGGGAACAGCCCCACTCCCTCTTAGCCAGGAGACCTCATGGTCCCATGTGCTCCCCGGTCACAACAGGCTGTGCCATGACTTGTAAAGAGTTTAGGATAAAGCAGTGGGAATCGTTGCTTTGCAGGCTTGGAGATGTTTCTGCCCTGGCAAGAGGGGGAGAAATGTTTTCCTCACCCATGCTCATGGGAGCATCATGTGGCAGATGATAGGTTGCCCGGGGCTTCAGCCATGATGCTTTTGAGTTGGGGTCAGGATGGGGACAGTGGGGCTCAGCCTCTTTTTGCCAGTGGAACTCTAAGCCTCCTCCATGCAGGGTTTGATGGTGGAACTGCTCAGTGCTGAGCTCTGATGAGAGTACACTCAAATCTCAGCTTGGTGGGCTTGGTTTTGGGGAACACGAGTGGGAAAGGCTTTGCAGTGCTCCTTCGCTTTATGTAGCATCAACCCAACCACCTTAAAAATAGGGAGCTTCTAGGGTAAGAGCAGTCCTTGACCTCGTGCAATCCATGTGGCCGAATCCTGAGCACCTCTGGCTGGCAGAGCAGCATCTTAATATCTTCAGTTTTATGAGTCTGCAAAAAAAAAAGCCCCAAACTATGCTGGTTTAGTTGTCCTACTTTTTTCCTTTTTTTCCTTTTTTTTTTAATGGATATGTCCACCTTGCCCTGGAACTTGCTGTCACCTCCCATGTGCTGCTCCATGGACAGGACACCTTGGCAGCCCAGGAGCTGCCATCCTTGCATGGAGGACTTGAACCTACTCCAAGGTTTCTCTGGGTTGAACTGACAAATACTTGGGATTTCTTTTGATATGGATTTGGCTCTTACCTCTGAGGTACCAGCCTCTTGATGTTTCAGTCTCGAGAGGGTTGTAGAAACATAACAGGCTGGGGAAATTGAGGGGCCTTCCAACCAGGTTTTGCGTTAGAAATCACAAAGAGCACACTTCCCTTGTAAAAATCTTGAGACAGTTGGGGAAGAGGAAAAGTTGGAGCTCAGTAGACACATGGCACCGGAGTGCAGCTTAAGAGACCAAGGGCTCATGGTTTGAGCTGGTTTTGGGGTCTGTCCTTGTACGGTAATCCCTGTTTCACCCCAGATGCCAAGATGTTGAAAGGAGAGCCTTAAAAATCTGACAGAATTTGCCAATTTTGTTACTGCTTCACTTCTTTCCATTGGGTCTTGTCAGATGTCATAGAGAACAGACACCCCCATGGCTTTGGCTACAAACTTGTCACCTGCTGCCCTTTTCTGCAGAAGCAAAGGCACAAACTGGGTTTTATGCCTCCTCACCCCTATCCACCTCCCTCACCCACTCGATGGAAACCCACCATCCTTCCACAGTTTGCAGGGCTCCAAACTGGTAGCCAGAGCTTTGGAGACACAAGGGACAGCAAAGCAGAGATGCCCTGACCATCAAACCAAGAGCTGGTAGAGTTTGCCCAGGAATCAACTGTGGCTGAACCTCACATGGAGGAATTCACCTGAGCAGGGATCTGTAGCTGTGTCCTCTCACCGGTGGCACACGTGTGCCCTTACCTGCATTTCGGTTGAGAGGCTCCTGTGTCCCTTCTGTTTGTCAATCGGATAGAGCGTGTGGTGGGGGCAGCGGTGGGAAGGAGGGCAACGCACCCGTCACAAATGGGCCAGCTCTTTATTTAAGAAAGGTCTGGTGACATGTGTTTAAAGACTTTGCATTTGTAAATTCACATTGTGAGTCTTGCAATAAGGCTGACACTGGTGCTTGGGCTGAGAGCTTCGGATGAGGAGGTTTATGAGTAACAGATTTCCCGAGGAAGCAAAGAATCTTGCTCTATCTACAATAGAAGGAGTAGTTTTCTTTTTTTTTTTTTTTATTTTTTAATGGGGTTTGTTTGTTTTTTATTAATCCCAGTGGGAAAGCACACAGGGAGATTCGTGACTTCCATGCAGTTTCCAGGGTCTTATATCTTATTTGCTTCCAGCGGGCTGGGTAGGTGCAGTTTGGCGGGTGGATCTGGATGGGATAGTGTCTGGTGGGAGAAAAATGTGGCTGGTTTCTTTGCGCAGCGGGGGGGTCACGGGTCGGCTGTGGTCCCGCTCGCAGGCTCTAGCAGACATTCCCGGGGAGGGGGGGGGCATTTCGCCGCGCTCGGCTTCCCTTTAGACGATGATCTCCCAATGAACTCTCGACTTCCCTGCTGTTTCTTTCTGTGCAACAAAGAACTGCATATTTTCCTTTTTAACTCCATGGGCAATCGTAGTAGTATGTAGATTAAGCCCAGATTTTTTTTTTTTTTTTTTTTTTTCCTCGGTCTGAGCCATAGCTAAATTATTATACCCAATGCTTTTTGTATCAGATGGCATCACTTTGAATATGCAGATGAGGTATAGGATCTTGACACTTTATAACCTTTTTAAAAAGAAAATTGTCTGTTTACTTATGTCTTGTGTAAAAAGGAAAAAAAAAAAGTATGCCTTTTAGTAATCACTCTTTTTTTGAGTTTTATGAAATTACGGTGGTTACACTCCAGCAGCGAAATAAAAAGCATTCACTGTTTTGTACATCCCTGTGTGCTGCGGTGCTGCTAATGGGGGAGCTGCCAAGATGGGGGAGGCAAAGGCAGAGCTGAGCTCTGGCCAAGGGATAGTGGAGGGGTGCACTGCAGCGGGGGGGGTTGAGTCCTGCTGCCTCCCCTCAGCTGGAGACTTCAGCCCACTTCCATCCCATCCCAAATGTGTCCCAGCCATTCCCCGAGTTATTTTGCTCCTCTCATCCCATTCCCCTTTCCTGGTTGCTCCCAGGACAGGCAATGGAGGTGGCTGGGAAAGGGTCGGACCTACTACAATTAGATGATGGGCTGCAGCCAGCTTAAAGCGGAGCCCAGGGCAGAGAGAAGTGATTTGCCCAGTGCCAAGACAGGTGCTAGGCTTGCACCCAGGGCTCCAGGTCCTCATATAATTCCCTTTGGGCTGCTCTCTGTCCCCTCCAGCATCATCACTGCATGTTCTATCTCCAGCCCTTCTTCATCAAAAACATCATGCAGGTGTTCAGCAGTGATCGCCGGACCAGGCAGCCTCCACTTCCAGCAGGACCCCAGCATACCCACCATGATCCCAGCAGGGTCAGGAGCCAGCACCTTGCCAGAGAGAGTCCAACCATCACAGCATTTACTTCCAATCCAAGCAAGGTCTTCTCCAGAGGAGGGTCTGGCAGTGGGGAGACCCAGAAGCTGTTCTGCAGCAGTGGACTTGCCTTGACTGAGCTAATTACATTGTTCACTTACCAATTTGTGTCATGGTTTTTAAGTATCCACCTCATCATCAAATAATTGGCATAAGCAGAGCCCATACACACCCTGATCCTGTGTCCAGCATGTGTCAACTGATATAATTGGATAAAAGATGTTGTAAGGCTCAGAGATGCCTTTTAGCCTGCAGGGAAAGAGTTGACTCCATAGCGAGGCTGTAGGGTGCTGCTGGACAGGCTGCCCAAATGAGGGTCCCTGCTGGGTCCCTAAGAGGCCATGGCTGATAAATCATAGCACGCAAGAGCCTGACCAGTGGCAGTGGGCAGCCTTTGACCAGAAACACACCAAATACCTGGACTGACTATGACCAGCCTCTCCAGGCTCTGGCATGAAGCAGCAAGGGAGGAACCAGCTCCTAAATACGCATTGTCTGCTGGCACCAACACACCTGCCAGGAATGCCTGGGTAAGGGAGATCTTGTAGCTGGAGATCTGATGGGTGCTTCACCCTCCCTT